CCCCCCCCCCCCCAAATTATCGGTCTACCTACGCCCCTGCTTATATTAACGATCGTATGTGATAACGCGTGTGCGAAAGTTTCTTATTTTCTTTGAATCAAGAAATACGCAAACTATTCCCCTTGCTTACAATATTTGCGAAATACGAATACAATAGATTTGAATATTCAGCATGCATGAGCTCGACGTTTGAATTTACTATACGAGTAAATTGTTAAACACGTCCGAAATTATCAATACGATAAATTCGCGACGCATTAAACGGATAGATGAACCTAACCCTAATCTAACCCCCCAACTCTAACCCCTCACCCTAATATAATCTTCATCTCACTCTAATCTAATCTTAATCTGACACTATAATCTAAACTTGATGACCTTTTTTTAATTACTCGTGTGGTGTTTTAGTCACGATCTGTAAAAGAATGATAAAAGCTCATGTAAATTTCCCGACCCCCGCTTAAATTAATATCGGAATCATAAGGATTATAAAAGTCTCCCAAAAATTCGCGTTACCATCATTATGCATATTATTCCATAATATTATACACAAAATGCAATACGAATTATATAGGTTTTTAGTGTAGATTAATCAAGTGATAGCAATTTTATGGATTTTTACAAAATAAAAGACCTTGTCGGGAGACTATGGTCAGAATTTAATCTTAAGAATTGATCACAAAGCGCATTGCTGTGCTCCCTTGGAGCCAGCGAGAGCACGCGGCGTCGCCAACAAAAAGCGCACACTCGCTATGTTTTTGGCGACAGTAATGTATGCAAGCTTTAGCGTTCTCGTATATTTCGACCGGCGTTTGTGAAATATAGTTCATTGAGACAGCACGGAGTTGACTTTATCATTTAATATGGGGTCTGTAATCAGTAGTATGTGGACTACATTGTTTGGCGAAGTACCAGTATCACCGCCACCAGAACTCGATTGTACTCTTCCATTTCCAACAAATACAGATATTGAGCACAGAAGTAAGGATCGGTTAAGTAAAGAGATTCAGGATTTTTATATAGTATTAATAAAGATAGTTCGTTTGATAATTCATCTGTGTATAAACGCGGGCCAACAGACCATATCATCCGTCAAGATCGGCTAACTATCTACCATCTACTCAGACGAAATTGGGCGCGTAGCATGCATCTGCTTAAAAATTGATTTAGTGATACTGGCTCTCTTACAACGCTGCCATGCTGGGCATTGATTTTCATGATAAAAGCCTTTTTAGCCATGTAAATGTTTTAGCTGTAAAATTATTTTATGCTGAGCAGAACCACATACGCGGCGTGACGTCCAGGCACGCTAATACAACCTTTGAGTCATTGTTGTTAATTAAACTTTATAGAATCAGTCGTTGGTGTTTCACAATCGTCTTCCATGTCATGTGAAAGCAAGGATCACATAGCATCACCACCAGAACTCAGCTTCACTCTCCCAACACATAGTGATCTTGGAAGTAAACCACATGACTGATCCAGTGATGAGATTCAGTCACAACTACCGACTGATATTCTGCTACTAACAGCAAACGATCACGAGTTCTATGCTTTATACGCATATATGAACGATGTTCAACGAGGTATTAATTCAAAGCTAGATATTGTAGATTTTGGTCGATTTGGTGATGAGAATGATCAGAATGTGAAAGTTGCATTAATGAAATCTGCGCAGGGACCAATTGAGGCTCTGTTAGCTGTGAAAAATGCTGCTGAAATTCTAAAACCAAAAGTAATCCTTTTTGTCGGGATCTGTGCAACCATGAGACCGAAGAAGGCAAAACTTGGCGACGTCATAATTTCCGCCAAATTGGCGACTTATGATGAAACAAAAATCAAGGAAGACAAGGTGGAGTATCGCGGCTCTAAATCGAAAGTTAGTCAAAATATGCAAAAAAGGATTCGGCATGCAACTGATGGTTGGAAAGCACCATTAAAAGACCCGAGTAGTTTAAAAGTCGAGGTTCATCCTGACGCTGTGATGTTAAGTGGCTCAGATTTAGTCAATAATCGCGGAAGACGAGAAGAGTTAGCGGAATATTTTCAAGACGCACTCGGTCTTGAAATGGAGGGTGCAGGTAGGTAGAATTAAGCCTCAAATATCATTCAAATACTGCACACCGATTAGGCTTGAAACCAGTGGGTAAATTTGTCAACCTGTCAAAACACATTCAAGACCGGGGAGCGAAATTATTATGAGAGGCGTTTTCGAGCACGCATGCGTCCCGTTTAACGCAATTTTCTCATACGTTCCTTATTAATTTTTTGTTTTTAGAGACGACGCTAGCACCACATTTTTTACAATATACGGCCTCTAAATTTTGTGTACTTACTAATTTTGAGCTGCTTATTTTATTTCTGCATAGTATTGAGCGTGCTAACATAAAAAAATGTGACTTCAGGGATGAAAATGTTGCCAATTCAAAAACTATATTTATGTCAAAACTCACGTCTACATTTTTGTGTTTACATTTTAGGCCTATATGCAGCGGCGTCTGATCTTAAAACGGAATGGGCTGTTATAAAAGCAGTGTCAGATTTTGCTGATGGAAGTAAATCATCAACAGAACCTTGGCAACCATTTTCTAGTGCGATGGCAGCATCTGTTGTATACAATATGTTCAAATACCCTGTGTTGATACAACACTGGCCTCACTACAACGCGGAAGACATGAAAGGTAGTTATTCTTTGTACCGGAACGAAACTAGAATTTTTTAAATACACTGTATAATTGTTCATTTCTAACTTTGCCTTAATTGTCGCCCCTGCACTAGGCAATCCACCGACTTCACCGACTCCAAGTGTTTCCATTGACCAGTTTCTTAAAAGTATTGGTGGTACAACAGAAGGAACGGTATATATCAACGCAACTTAAATTTTAGTATCATTATTTATTCCAAATTGGCTGATTCAATCCTTTCTTCCTTCACTTCTTTTCATCCAATTATCGTACCATCCTTCCTTTCATCCATTTATCTTTGAATAATTTCATCCTTCTTTTCATCCATTTATCTTTGAATAATTTCATCCTTCTTTTCATCCATTTATCTTTGAATAATTTCATCCTTCTTTTCATCCATTTATCTTTGAATCATTTCATCCTTCCTTTCATCCATTTATCTTTGAATAATTTCATCCTTCTTTTCATCCATTTATCTTTGAATCATTTCTTTTCATCCATTTATCTTTGAATAATTTCATCTCTTTTAACCATTCCATTTATCCATCTATTTCTCTCTTCTTTCACTCTTCTTTCCTTCATTGCCTACTTAACTTTCGTTTTTCCTTCCTTCATTCTTTAACAAATTTCCTGAACTACTGGTATCTCATTTTAATAACGTAATAATATATTAATAACCTATGTTTTCCTTATATTCAAATGAGTATAATTTGTCCTTTCCCTGTTCACACTTTCTTTTCTTGATGCTATCTTTCTTCATTTTTTCTCCATCCTTTCTAACAACCATCTAAGTTTTCTGTTTCCATTTTCGTTTCCTTTCTTACTTTGTTACTTATCAAACCTAATAGATCGGAACCTCGTATTTTGTATCTTTAGAAAATGTACAATGGTCGCACAATTAAATACTCAGCTTCAGGACGAATTCACTCATTTGATGAACCTTGGGTTTATGATGGAACAGCGACAGATATTGCAAGTCGTTTTTCTGTGAAGGAGAACCATTTTGAAACCGCTGATCAGGCCATTTACGCAGCAATTCAAGAGTTATTTAAACAACTCAAGGAAAAAAAAATAATTTAAGACTAACATATATTCTGTTTACATTGTCCTCAGGATTACAGTAAATCAACGTATACACTTTTATTTAAGTTTTAAAGGTACAGAAAGCCCATAAATGATATACATAATCGTGAATTATTGCAATAGCATATCAATCTCTTGTTACGGGACTGAATTATCTTAGTTAAAGGGCAAAGAGTCTCCTACCTGTGTCCTACCACAGAGTAGATAAGACATACAGAGACGTAACTGACCGTTGTAAACACTGCGGAAGATTACGTTATCATGTACCCACTTTTTTTCAGGGGACCGGGCGAAAAATGATCAACTGCGCGTGCTCAGCAAGTTTAAAGTGAGTCGTCATCAGGTCGTCATCCAATCAGATGCATGCATCTAGTAACTTGCCGAGCATGCGCATAAAAAAGTGGGTACACTAGTTACGTCTCTGTATGTGCGTCAGCAAACCGTTAGTGAGTAGCGTCAACAAACAGTTGCCTGAACGAACCATATATGCAGCCCAATGTTACGGTCGTAACGAAATTCTCGTTGCCTGCGCGCGGGCGAGGCATAATATAGTTACACTATTTCATGAAATATATTATGAAATAGTATAACTATATTATGCCTCGCCCGCGCGCAGGCAACGAGAATTTCGTTATGACCATAACATTGGGCTGCCTATGCAAAAATGAACAGTTGCCTGAAGATTACAAAACCGCATGAAACTTTGAGTGGCAACATGCAAACACTGTTTTAGAAATTAAATAATTATATACTTATATATATTTGTATTGATTTGCATGTATCTCACAGTGGTCGCGTGTGATTGATTTAATATAAAAATAACAGACAATAAAGTATATAGAAATCGTCTTTCTAAAGAACGAGTCATAACACTGATCACTTTTGTTTCCAATATTCGTATTAGATAGGTAGGTAGGTACTTACTGGCAGATGTCATAAATTTTAAAGGCCTGGAGTGATTGAATTATAGCTGATTTACTTTGTAACGATGAGGCTTAACGAGAATGCAGTTATTAAAACGGAGCTGTCAGAGGGGATATTCGAATATGTTACGAAATGTCATGCCATGTTTTCAAAGCGTAATTCCGAATTGACTCGAAATGCCCCTCGAAAGTGCCACCCGCTCCAAACAGGTATACTACGCTTCAAACTTTGTTTATGCGGAATTTCTAATCATTTTCCCAAACTCTCAAAATGGAAGGAAATTTTCAAAGCTGCGAGATAAAAATTTGCGACAATTACAATACAAATGATAAAAATTACACAAAATTCTTCGCCCTCCACCAACAAGAAAAAATAATCCAAACTGCTCGGATACTTAACTCGTTTGGTAAACAATTTCTACACGGGCTAAATCCAACAGATGAAAAGTATTATAGCGCTAGTGATGATTACTCCACAAAGTTTCACAGTGTTGTGGAAACCGTTGATACATTGGTAGAGTGGCTGGAACGCTCGGGGAATGATGTGGTGGAAAATTTAAAGAAGAAAGAAGCCATCTTGCGTGGAGTGCTACGCTTGACAGGTAAGCTTGTACTATATAGTCTTGTTTTGAACTTGTTTTAATATATACTACTACTGGATAGCTCTAACGGTTCTCAACATGCAGTTGTTCCTTAGAAGTCCATAAGAGCCATCTCTCAGATCCAGCCAGGGGGCTTACCAAGCCGGACCGCTTGTACGAAAGCCGGATAGCGCTATCCACCGCATGTTTTCATCCTTTGTAAAATTCTTTGAAAAGCTACAAATCTACTAGCCATTATAGCAGGCGTTTATTTGCTTGCGGGTATGGATCTCACAATTAATAAAAATAAACTTTAATTTATGATTACTGAAGTTTAATATGGGTTATACCAATCAACCGACAATTTTAGAAAGCTTGAAAAAAAATTAACTGGCCCCTGATTACCAAAAAACTGGTAACACTGGCTCAATATATACCAGTATACCGAAAATTCCAGGCTACGTATGCCTGCCTGAGTACTTAATCTTGGGTAAATATAATTATAATGAAATGAAGAATTAGATAAAAATTAATACGATCTGTTTCATTTTCCTCAAGAACTTGGGAATCAAGCTAGTCTATTTGGCATACTGGAACTAGCCTGCAAGTTCCTTGATGTACCTAAAAACCCCTACCCAGCCGAACGTGAATACATATCAGGCTCACTGGCCGAAGTTGACGACCAAAAACGAGCCATCTACGTAATACTCCGAGAAGCAGGCGAAATCCTACGAAGTATCATCGACGACGATAAATTTGACATAAACAAAGGGATGCAATTTGATAACAGTGTCAGAAAAGCGGAGTTAGAAATTCAATTCAGTCAAAGACGTTTGGATGGCGCGAAAAAAATGACAGTCCAGTTAATGCAAAAAATGCGGTCAGTGAAATGGTTTTCCCGCGCTGTTCGAGCCCTGGGTATAGCCATCACCTGGTACTTCGTGTACTACAAATATAAGGATTCGACAATTGCCTTGCCTGTTATGCTTTTGGGGTTTCTCGTGTCTGCTATGGTGTGGTTGTCATTTTTCCCGAGTAATGCTTACGGATTTTACGAGGCGTTATCTAAACTGGACGTGCAGCATCGTTTGCTGAGTGCGGAACTGGGCACTATAAACGAGCGATTAAAGAGCACCGCTGACCACAAAGATGAAGTGGCCGACGAAAAATTAACGATCTCAAGTAATTGATCTCAAAATTGTTGCTTAGAACTGGAGTACGAGTTATCTTAGTATGGATTAGGTGATCTCTTAATCATATTTAATAGAAATTAAAAAACATGGTTTGGAAGATTAATTAAAAAGTTAGTGCTTTTCTATTTTTGTTCACATTTATGGAAGTTTGAGAGTGAAGCTGGATAATGGATTGATATCTCAGTCACCCGCGCTGTTGCAGCCGTTATTTTGAATGTTTAATATCCGCTATCTTTGCCTAGCTTCTATCAGTAATTATTCGTATAATCCAGTTATGTGCTACTTGCGTATCGAAGGTTTATAATTCTACGTACACTCTTTTATTCCCCATCGCCTTGCGCAATATCAGTATTTGCAGATTTCTCTCCGAAAAACCATTAAATCTACGTTGTAGTTGCCTTTTCCATCAATCCAATGCAAGCAGCTTTCCTTTCCCCACGGTCGCCATACTTGCGCAAATAAGGTCTATACTTCTGCGGAAAATCTTTCATTTCCCCTTTGAAGATTCCTTTCCGAACTTTTAAAAACACTGCCGCATTTATTGTAGACCGCAAAAGCGTTTCAGCCGCACACCAGTCTTCCTTGTAACAATAGTATGGTGACGCGATTAATCGATAAACTGAAAAAAATGTTTTCTTGTGTTGTTTTGAATATCTTTTAAAAAACCGATTTTGTCGCCGGTTTTTATAAGAGCCGTTTCACCACAAATATTGCGATATTGATGTCAGCTTTGTTTTTCATCTACACGAGATTAAAAACTGAGCATATGTACAAGTGACACAGTGATTCTTGCATAGCACTGTGCATTAAACTCCTTCTCCATAAGGCTTTCTGCGTCGCAAGGTATAATAGATCACAATTAGGTGGTACTTGCCTTTTTCCACTTGTTAAACTGTTCAAGATATTGCATAATAGTATCCGAAGGTTTGAACTTACTGTCGCTCTTCTTACTCGGTAATGAAGGCACTGTCACCGCAATTCCTGTTATTCCTTCTAAAAATTCCTGCAGTAAACTCCAACACTGCGATGCTACGAGACACGGAAGATACTCAACCTACAAGCCAAGGTTACAAAAATGCCGTATTTTACGGAAAACAAACAAAATATTTCTCATGCCATAATCCTCTTGGGCCGGTTGTTCGAAAGCCAATAAACTTAACCCTAGATTAACCTAAAATTCAAAGCGAACTTTCCAACAGCTTGTTTATAAATTTGAAAATATTTCTCCAGAAATCATTTCTTGATCAGTAGGAGTTTTCTTCCCTGAAGTTTTGAAATAAACAGACGAGCAGAAATACATAAACTAAAACAGCAGATTAAATTTTAACCCATAATCCAGCTTAGTTTGAACAACCGGCCCCTGAGGCAGGTACGCGTTGATAGATTTTACTGGATGCGAGAGAAAGGGAGTTTAAGCCAAACATAGCTGTCAATAGGAAGCACAACAAAAGATATGAAGAATTTAGCCTTAGGAAGTGTGTAAATTTGAACACAGGTGTCACAGCAGTTCAGAATGTACTTACGTTTTTCTTGAATGTACAAATGAAAATACCTCAATAAGAATTCCTTTGAAACTGACTCCAACCGTAACTTGACCAATTTTGATGACAAAATCACCTAGTTCATATCGCTGACCTTTTGCCTTTGAATAAAGAAAAAATTCAGATTTGAAAATTCATGGCACGATCTGTATGGATGATCTGTCACGATGGGCAAAGAAAAAAAGTAGTCGTTTGATCATTCTTTGGTGTACAAAAGCGGCCAGACAGATATCAACTGTTAAGTCATGAACTATTTCAGAACCACCCTCAGATACATGAAAAATAGTCGGACACATACTGCAGAGCACAATGAAAAAATCATTGTTTCAAGAGAGGATACAAAGTGATACGAACTTACATCTTTAAGGTTTCTAGATTGCCACTCTAGCCATTGAGCTATATACTGGACTAACCTCAATTTTAGCTCCTTTGCGTGGCTCATAACATCCTTTGATCTTGGACATCACGCTATCAAATCCTCGGTCTGCAATCAGGCATGAACCGTTTTCCAAACATGCAAATGTTGAAAGTGGAAATTCTGTGTTGTGGACGATATGAAGAATCTTTGGAGGGCTTCCTAAACATTGACAGAAATTACTTAAGGTAAGAAATTACACTCAATTTAAATTTAAAGTAAACTAATTCAAGTAACAAAATTGCTGCAACTTAATAATTGTAACAGGTATCCAATCGGTTTGTTACAAATATCAAGGTGGCTCTCTGCTTTATGGCATGTGGCTTTTAATCAATCTAATTTTAATATGAATATTAAGGTGGCCCCTTGCAGTTTTCTAAAAATCAAATTTTATAAAACAGATTTTCTTAAGGTGGCTCAATAATCAAAATTACATCTGCAAGAAAATTTCAGTAAGAAGCATTTTTAAAAGTTATTTAGTTTTTTTCTAGGACATCAGCACTCCCAAAATCACTCTACGATGGACTAAAAACAGCTCTTGTGCTGCATATAGTGATTGATTTGCAATTATCAGATTGACAATTAATTCTTTTCATTATATATGTATGTCAGTAGAAGTCATGTTATATTTGGCGGCAACACACAAAGCAGAACAAGATATGTCATAAAAGTGTCAACTTTTCGGAAGTTGATCAACTTTTGATGTACTGTCAGTAGGACTTACCAAAACCAACCAATTGTGAGATGAAGGCCAGCTGCCCTTCAGCATAAAAACAAAATAAATACCTACCCAAACTTGTAACAGACTGGTATGTCTCACAGTCTACACACCAGCCATTTGACCAGTGTGCACCAGCCAACTCAACATTTTTCTGTAAAATATCAACCACTTGTTGACCATTCTTGCCACTTGCCAATGGCCACGGATATACACTAAATTAAAACACATATTCTTAGGAAGGTTGTGAAGAGGGTGTTTGATTTTTCAGGAAGGTCATAAAGAGGGGAGGAGGTTCCATGGCAGCGGATGTTAGGGAGCTATGAAGCAACACTCCATATTTTAAGAGGCTAGCTCTACATTCAAATGTGAAAATGTGCTCTAAATTAAGAATTCTAGCCAGTTACAGATCAACTGTAAAACTCATCTAAACCTGGAGTTAATGACTATCAACACCAAAAATAGTTGAAAAATAATGCTCAAATAGCTAGTGCTAAAACACCAATCACAATGGCATGTAGTAAAACACTGACTACCGGAACACCGGAACACCACCGGAACACCGGAACACCGCCATTTTGTTTAAGGTTAGGGTTTGGGGTTAGGGTTAGGATTGGGGGTTAGGGTTGGGGTCAGGGTTAGGATTGGGGGTTAGGGTTGGGGTTAGGGTTAGGTGGTGTTCCGGCGGTGTTCCGGCGCTGTTCCGGTAGTCAGTGTTTTACTACATGCCAATCACAATTGGTAAATTCTAATTGATAAAAATCAATAATCGGAAAGCTAATTAATCCATTGAGTTGCATTGCGCCCTACTTATTTACTCTATCTAACGCCTTGACTGGAAAGTTTGGAAATTGCGCGCTGGAGATTTTGAAAATGTAACAGTAAATATAGAAAGCATCAAAATTGCACGGCCAATATCTCCACCGTGCGATACAAACTTTCTAATGGTCTAACGCCAGATGATTTTACTCATCAAGGGGAGAGCACTGGCGCTTAATGGGTTAACTAGCCTATCTGCCCATGTATCTAGTTAACCCATTGAGTCACATTGCGCCCTACTTTATTATTTTACTCTGTACGCCAGACGATTTTATTAGGTCATTCAATAGTAATGATTTTATTGATTAATTGGCTTTCCAATCATTGATTTTTATGCATAGCAGCATAACCTAGCTTTATAAGTAAAACTTTTACATAAGGTGGCATTAAATATCTACAACTGCATTCATGCTTACCAAGTAACACCCATATTTCATTTTACAACATTTTACACACTGGATTACTGAAATTTTACAACTCCACAAGGATATTCAATACTTTATGTTACGACAAGTAAAGCACGATAGCATTTGCGCGTGGAAATCTCGTGGAGACTCGCAGTGCGAGCCAATCAGAAGGCGACAAATACGAGTACACGATTGGCACACGTTGTAGGAAAAGAGTTGTCAGAATATATTTCAAAAAGCTGGTCTATTCATCTTTTAAAAGTAGTTAGAAATTATTTTGCAAAGGCTGTTTTTGCGTGAAATTGGTGCAGAAATGAAGATCATTTCTTATATTACAGCTGCTATTTTTCTTGGCTCCTTGACGCTTAATGAAGCAAAGTTGCGAGAAGGAGACTGTGATGGTCAGTATATGAATATAGATTTTATCTGACACATAGGACTTTTAACTACTCATAATAGTGAAAAAGCTTTTTATTATCCATACATTTACATTCGTAGTTTTATAAATAATTATTATAGGAGTATTTGATCTATTTTGTATTTTGATTGTATATGACCTGTATTTATTGATATTTTCAGTGATATTTAATACCGTAATATATTGATGGTTTTATGGCCTGGATAATTATTTGTATATTGTTTATATTTGTACAGTACACTATATAAATGTTTCCAAAAATGTAGGTGCTAGTGAGAAAATAATATGAAGTCTTGTATGTGATGGCAAATAAAAGAGATTAACCCATTGAATGCATTATCTGGCATTAGACAGAGTATTACAAAGTAGGGTGCAATGTACAGTTTAAGTACTTTAGAGTTATAAATGTTGAAATGTTTCCAAATAAATGTCTTTGTTTTTTTTTTTCAGTTTGCATCAAATTTCTAACAAAATTTGCAAATGATCTCGATGGTAGCGAAAAAGGACCTGATGATATTAGGAAAAAATTACTGGTCACATGCAAGAAAGCAAAAGGAAAAGATCACAGATTTGTAAGTGACCAATAAAATTGTTGGGAGTTTGACGAACAAAGTAACATTGATAGACCCGACTGGAAGGTTAGGAAATTGCACGGCCGAGACTTTAAAATTTAATAGTAAATATATAGAAAGCATCAAAATTGTGTGCCTGATATCTCGGTTGCACAATACAAATTTTCCATACTGGTTGACAGATAGATAGTCTGATTAACCCATTGAAGAGTAAAATCATCTGGCATTAGACTAAGTAAACTAACAAAGTAGCCACACATTGGGCTGCAATGTCACTTATTAAAGGGTTAACCATTAATTAATTTCTGTTGAGAAGTCAAGTCACGTGACATGAGGAAACTACCAAAATACGGCACATTGCACCTTGATGAATTAGAATTTACAAGTGAAATCCAATAGATAACCTAGTTAACTCACTGAGTGGTAGCACTCTCCCCTTGATGAGTAAAGTCATCTGGCATTAGACAGAGTAAAATAGTAAAGAATTAGGTGCATTGCCACTTAAGGGGTTAACCATAGACCAGTATATTGAAGATATCCAATAGGTCTCATTATAATCAAAACTTGTCTATTCCTAGTGTTACTATGTTGGTGGTACAGAAGATGCAGCAACCAGTATATTGAATGAAATTACAAAGCCCATTTCATACCATGTTCCTGCAGAAAAGATTTGTGAAAAACTCAAAGACAAAGATGCTCAAATATGTGAATTGCAATATGGTAATATATTAAAAATATTATGACCAACATATAGTATCATTCAAAGTAATTCCTAACTCCAATTCCTACCTTGGATTTTGTTGTTGTTACCACATAATATGAAGAACTCTTTGGTAATTATTATGTATAATACTATGATATGGAAGTTTGATGCATTTCTGGACTATAACAATGTCTTGCATAGATATTAGTTATCAAAAAACAAGACTAAAAAAACTACAGTGATATTTCGACCCCACTGCAATAACACCATCACCCAACTATTGTTCAGAGTATGTTTTTCTTATATTTTCTGTGAAATTGTTTGCTAATAAAAGGATATCAGATTTCTATCAGCTCTGCAAATGCTAAATCTTTTGTTCATTTATATGATTTTAGAACAAAAGATTGATGTTCGAAATGTAGATTTGAAGAAAATGAGAGTAAAACAGCTGAGGAAAATTTTACAAAGTTGGGACGAAGAGTGCAATGGATGTATTGAGAAGTCAGACTTTGTACAGCGTATTGAAGAACTAAAAGACAAGCATACTGAATTATAATAATAGTGGTAGTATTATATATATTGTTAAAATTGTTATTTAATAATACAATTGTTTTTGTAACACCAATGGTTTATTGTTTGATGGTATGACCGTATGTGTGAGCGGAGTGAAAATTAGATTGAACTCTCGGACTAATGTACACTGATGTAATGATACTATGATCCAAATAAAAATTAATTGTAAGCAAAGACAATGCCTGACCAGGATTTACAAATCTTAGCCAACTTCTGTCCAAATTCAATCTGTCTTTGAAAAGCAAACTTCTATGTTTCTGCCTCTTCAGAAATGTCATCCTCATCAGCTTCAGACACTTTGCTTTTCTCATTAAGAAGGACGTATTCTCTTGTACTGAAGCCAAATTTGAGTACATCCTAGACAGATAATATGCAAATAACTTTGTGGTATGTACTGGAGTTGAACTCCAACAAAGTCACGAACAAGAGGGTTAATGAAATAGTTATAAAGAAATGTAACTATAAAACTTGTACCTTTTCCTTCAGTTCATAATATCGTCTTGCTTCTATTTTCTGATTGTTTAAAAATGTCCCATTGGCTGATTCAAGGTCAATTATGTAAGGCCTAAAAAGATCACCAATCTAACATTTAATGGAATGACATTCTGACTAATTTTGTGGTGTTACGTGTTAGACACAGTAAAGTAACAAAGTAGGGCACAATACAGATTAATGGGTTGATTAAAATATTAATGTGAATTTGGTACAAACAAATGTTAGCCAAATTTGTCTGTTGATTGTAACAACCATATTCACCCAAACAAGAGCCTGTGCTTACTTGCATTTCCGACCAGCGGTACCATCTTCCCTTTCATAATTAACCAAGCGATATTGCAACACTGCATGTTGTTTTGAACACGAGGGATGATCAACTGCTAAATCAACAATCTGAAATACATTCAAGGAAATAACAATTTTATTGGAAATATTGCACATTGAAAAAGATCATGTCCATGAGATTTCTCCCCTACAATGGTTTACAGGTTTTTGATCATTCTGAAATTGACACATACATACTGTACATACACAGAAACAATCTTAAATGTTTGAATGGTTTTTAAAGATTCACCATGTACAGTACACTATCAATGCAAAGGCTGGAAAATCTATAATTAATAAGACTTCAGTTTTTACATTCAAAAATCCATTAATGGAAATTTAAATTTTTCCTGTATACAAACTTACATGTCGTTGTCTTCCAATGAGATAAGCACTTTGGCGATGAATGTACATTACAGCTGAAAATAAAAATATTTGACTGCAAGTTAATTTAGAAGTTGTATTAATTAAATTCATCACTGAGCAATTAGTGAATTCATAACTTACACATTCCTTTATCTTCTTTAAATGGATACAGTCGCCATCTTGTTTTTGGTTTAAGTGCCTCAGGTGGTTCATTATATTTTATTACTACACCCTAAACAAAAAGTGGGTAATCGGGAGCTGTTATATGGAAGCTGGGTTGGTCCTGTTGAGTATAAACAGTCACAAGCAGGTGGGCCGGTTGCCAGAATAAGTTCAAAGATCAAAATTATCCTGGCAAGCAAGATGAAATTTTTCATAAAACACAAGCGAAATTCATCTCGGTTACCATGCTGTCTTGCAAAGCGGGCCAGCTCAGCTAAATTCATATATTAAACAGTCCTTTCGTCTTTAACCTGGTAAAAATCTATCCTGATGCACTGTAAATTAACAGTCCAAATTTCAAACCTTGTAAGTGTTGGTATATTCTGTCAGTTTTCCTGAAAGTTCAAAATTTGGTTCTTCTTTTGTTTGTGAAACACCTTCTTCAACATTTTCAATATCCATGCTAAAAACAGAAAAGGAAAGGTGAAGTCCTGAACTTTGGTCAACTCTTATGTGAGGATTGGATCATTCCAGAAAACATCCATACCTCCCCACAGAGTGAAGTTTAATAACCCTCCTACCCTCTTCGGATGTCCTAAGGCGTAAAAAAAATACCTGTGGTTCCGGTTTCATATCGCGAAAAAATTAGGGTCGGTAGGTCGGAAATTTTTTTTTTAAAAATATTTTTTCATGGTTTTTTCAATAATTAGTGTGACAACAGATGCCATTTTGGCAGCAGCCCGCAACCACCCGGAGAAAATAGGGTCGCAAATCGCGTTGAAAAAATAATACGGTTGGCAGAAAAAAATTAGGTCAGTCGGGAACCGGAACCACAGGTATTTTTTTTACACCTAATACAATTACCATTACCAGAAACACATTTTTCTCCACTCTCCTCCGGATGACAGAAATTTCCTCCTTGGGGAGAGCATGGATATTTTCTGGAGCTACCCATTACAAAGTTAGGGTACTAGGTCGATCAAGGTAGGGTTAAGGTTGGCCAGTTGGGATAGTATTAGTGTAACAGTAAGGTTTACAAAATCAGGGTTAGGATTGGGATTAGATTAATATTAGTGTATGTTTAATTTTACCATTAATGGTACTGTCTAATAACAGTATTTTTTCCTGTGTACTGGAAAATACCATTAAACATGATAGTACAAGGTCGGTTTTCCAAATCTCGTGACTAGAAGAAAACATCATTTAGCCGTCCTAATGTTCAAAGCCAAACATAACATGTTACCAAATTGCTTAACGGAACTTTTCATCACCTCAAATGAAATACATAATTACAATACAAGACAGAGCGAATTCAATTTTGCATTACCTAAACCTAAAACTAATTTTATGAAAAAGTCTTTCGCCTATCGAGGAGCTGAGACTTGGAATAATCTGTCTGCTGACATAAAAGCTAAAACAAGTATCTCTACATTTAAAAATAGTCTAACTGTAAGTGTGTAATTTGTGTGTAATTTAGTTATTATTATTAGATACTGTAGTATATGTGTAATTAGTATAGCTATATACAGCCTATTGGAAGATCACCCGTCTTAATTTTTGTAAATATCTTGGTGAAATAGTACCGTTTTTAATAAAGTCAATAAAGTATACATAGTGAACCTTTAAAAACCATTCAAAAACCCATTAATAGAAATATAATTTTTTTTCTGTGACTACAAACTAATAAACTCACTTTTGTTGTTGACGTTTTCTTTCAGGAGACCCATGAGCTACTCTAAGTTCTTCGCCATTTCTTCGATTATTCTCTTGTCTTTGTCTTTCTTCCCTTTTCTCACCATCTCTGTATGATGTACTTTGATATTCATTTATATAATTTTAGAACAAAATATTGATGATCAAAATGTAGATTTGAAGAAAATGAGAGTACACAGCTGAGGAAAATTTTACAAAGTTGGAACGAAGAGCGCAATGGATGTATTGAGAAGTCGGACTTTGTACAAAGTATTGAAGAACTAAAAGACAAGCATGCATACTAAATTTAGTGAATTATAACCTAATTATAGTAGTAGTATTATATACATTGTTCAGAATTGTTATTTAATATGACTGTTTTTGTAACATCAATGGTTTATTGTTTGATGATGGGAATTAGATTAATATTAATGTATGATAGTATACAAGGTATAAAATCTTTAAAAACCATTATTAAATGGGCTATTACATTAAAAAACCAAACCCCCCCTGTCGAGGACCTCTGCTTTTGGGGATTTTTACCCCTCTGGAATGCAAAAAAATCTGTGTAATTGACCCCTCTGGAAGAGTCTTGAACCCCCTCTGGAAGTGCTTTTTTGCTTTTTAACCCCTCTGGGAAGAGCATTTTTCTTCCATTTTTCCCAATTACCCCTCTGGAAAAAATGACTAATTTCCCCCTTGGAAAATGAGGTACTCGACAGGGGGGGTACGGATATTAAATGTAATAGCCCAATAGAGATACTGATACTAAGTGACTATAAACTAATAAACTCACTTTTGTCGTTGACGTTTTCTTTCAGGAGACCCATGAGCTGCTCTACGTTCTTCACCATTTCTTCGATCATTCTCCTGTCTTCTTCTTTCTTCCCTTTTCTCACCATCTCTGTTCGATGTACTTTTCTTTTGACTCCTCTCATGGCGTCCATGTTTGCGATCTCTTTGCTCTCCATTTGGTGATCGTGAACGGCCTCTGCGTTCCCGTTGTCTATCTCTATGTCGAGAAGACATGGTTTCCTACGAAAACTACTCGCTACATATTCTGTTTGTGCATAAAATTGCAAATAAAAAAATATTCTGTTTTAAAAATTTCCAAGATGGCCGACTTCTACCGCGCAATTATTGGAGGATTGGTGACGATAATAAAACTTCCACTTTGATTTGATTAAAATGCCTTTCTTTTCAACCTCGTCCCCAGGGTCTTCCTCGTGGTGGCGCGTGAGCTGAGGAAGACCCTGGTAAAATACGATGAAATCTCCAAGATTCTTGGAGATTTATCGCATGCGCAGTAACGACAACGTTATGTTGCTGACTACAATTAGCG